CGGTGACCCCTTGAAAGTATAAAAGGAGGCCCAAGCGCAACGTAGAGGAGGGTTCGGCTCATTCGAAACATCAGGAACACTCTCACGCTCAGTCTGGCAGCGTCCATCGCTCCTGAGCAAGAATTCAATACACACAAACAAGCAGCAGTAGGGTTTTACGCATCCGTGCGGCCCGAAGCTGGGTAAAACTGCTCGCGTGTACCGCCTCGATCCGCTCTTTGTGCGGCCTCCGCCCCCCCTCCGAACCGAAAGGGGCCCTGTCCCCATAGGTGTTGGTGGATCAGCTTCCCCGACACAGGTCATGTCGACAGGAATGTCCGTGATCCAGATACCCGTGAGACCAAGTCTTAACAAGATGAATAACATTAGAGCAACTCCAACGCGTCGACCCAAATAGACGCATACTTTGTCCGCTTTTCGTCCGTTTGGGTCGGCCGCCCGCTCGGTGTCCGTCCTATTTTTGTTTTGGGTCGGACGTGCGCCCTACGCGTGCGAACCATTTCATATCCACGCATAAATTTAAAAAGCATGCAGCCATAGATCATTGCCAGCGACCATGCCATCGCCCAAAGTTCATGTCGGCGCCATGACAGTGGTCGGCATACAATGCCAGCCTAAAAACAAACTACCACACAGTTCATGTTGACGCATTTGCCAGCGGCCGGCACACATGCCAACACATAAAAAAGGGGCGGGAATTCGACCACGCCATCTCAGCCTTAGTCATGCCAGCACAATTGCCGGCATACAAAAAAAGGATGGCGCTCTCCGCCATAGATCACTCGTCGTCGAACTTGAGCATTTCGGTCTGCCTCTTCCTTAGCGACACAGTGTTCATGTCCACCTTCATGATATCCACCCTCGTCATCATCCTAGTGAGCGCCACTTCATTTTCCTTGGTCTTGGCATTGGCGGCCTTGATCTCGATCATCTTTGCTTGCTTCTCCGCCTCCATCTCAAGCATCTTGGCTTGCTTCTCCACGTCAAGCTCAAGCCTCCTCCTTTGAATCTCCATGAATGCGTTCATTTGCTTTTCCTTGTCTTGCCGACGCTTCTCCTACGTTGTGTCCTTCTTGCTCATCATGCCCTCCATGGTGGCAAGTGATACGTCCATTTTGCATCATGTTTTCTTACTGTTATTTATAATGTTTTTATCCATAATAATGTTTTTTGGAGTAATTCTAATGCCTTTTCTCTCATAATTTGCAAGGTACACACCAAGAGGGAGAATTCTGGCAGCTGGAAATCTGGACCTGAAAAAGCTATGTCAGGCTACCTATTTTGCACAACTTCAAACAAGTTGAACCTTCACGGAGAATTTTTATGGAATATTTAAGAAATATTGGACCAAATAACTACCAGAGGGGTCCCACCAGATGGGCACAACCCACCTGGGCATGTCAGGGAGCCCAGGCGCACCCTGGTGGGTTGTGCCCTCCTCGGCCCACCTCCGGTGCCCATCTTCTAGTATATAAGTCATTTTTACCTAGAAAAATAAAGGAGAGGACATTCAGGACGCAGCGCCACCGCCTCGATGCGGAACTTGGGCAGGAGCACTTTTACTCTCCGGCGGAGCGATTTTGCCGGGGGAACTTCCCTCCCGAAGGGGGAAATCATCGTCATCATCATCACCAACAACTCTCCCATCTTGGGGAGGGTCATCTTCATAGCACCAACTCCTCTCAAACACTAATTCATCTCTTGCGTTCAATCTTTGTATCAAAACTATAGATTGGTGCCCGTGGGTGACTAGTAGTGTTGATTACATCTTATAGTTGATTACTATATGGTTTATTTGGTGGAAAATTATATGTCCAGATCCATTATGCTATTCAATACCCCTCTGATTTTGAGCATGTTTATCATTTGTGAGTAGTTACTTTCGTTCTTGAGGTCACGAGAGAAATCATTTTGCTAGTAATCATGTGAACTTGATATGTGTTCGATATTTTGATGGTATGTATGTTGTCATTCTCTTAGTGGTGTCATGTGAACGTCGACTACATGACACTTCACCATATTTGGGCCTAAGGGAATGCGTTGTGGAGTAGTTATTAGATGGTGGGTTGTGAGAGTGACAGAAACTTAAACCCCGGTTTATGCGTTATCCCGTAAGAGACCGATTGGATCCAAAAGTTTAATGCTATGGTTAGAATTTATTCTTAATAATTTTCTCGTAGTTGCGGATGCTTGCGAGTGGGTTAATCATAAGTAGGAGGTTTGTTCAAGTAAGAACAACACCTAAGCACCAGTCCACCCACATATCAAATTATCAAAGTACCGAACACGAATTAAGCCAACATGATGAAAATGACTAGATGAAATTCCCGTGTACCCTCAAGAACACTTTGCTTATTATAAGAAACCTTTTGGCCTGTCCTTTGTCTCAAAAGGATTGGGCTACCTTGCTGCACTTTTGTTACTACTATTTTTACTTGCTCGTTATAAATTATCTTGCTACCAAACTACTCTGCTACTTACAATTTTAGCACTTGCAGACATTACCTTTCTGAAAACCACTTGTCATTTCCTTCTGCTCCTCGTTGGGTTCGACACTCTTACTTATCGAAAAGAGCTGCAATTGACCCCATACACTTATGGGTCATCAGCAAGCAAGGGAATCGATGCCGCATCGCGCTTGTCTCCCTTCTTGGAGTTGGTCTTTCCCCATGGCTGTGGCTTTTCACCCTCCCCAAGCTCCTCGACGGCTTCCTTCCCCCCACACGTCTTGGCGGCGGCATATTGCGCCTTGAACTTCTCCTCCCCGTTGATGACCATCCAACAATGTGAGAGGTTGAAGGACTTGCCCTCATGTTGGGCTTGAATGCCTCTAAAGTTTGGAGTGCCTACAAATGAATAACATGCAAGTATATGGGCAAATGGACATGCAAGCATAACGAAAACGGATACGAAGAGGGGCGCATGTATACCATATCTTTCATGTCGATGCCGCTCACGGGGAATGCCTTGATGGTCTCAAGGGTGGCACAAAACTTGTTGCACTTTTGTTGTATCACCCTCCATCGCTTCAAGAGGGACGCACACACACGCTTGCTTTGCATTTGATATAGTGCAAACTTCTTGCGTTCACGGTACTCACGATGAACACGAAGCCAAAAGGATGATGCCTTTTGTTCGGCGCCATCCTTGGGGTCTTGCCCAATGTCCCTCCAACACTCACAAAGGAGTTTGTCCTCGAACAGCGTGTATGCCTTTGTCCGCTTGCTTTTGCGCTTCGGCTTCGCGCCGGCTTGGTTGGTGAGCTCGTCCTCGAACAAAGACTCCCCGTCGGTGTCCATTTCATCCTCTTCCTCGAGGACGTAGTCCTCCGGGAACTCGTGGTCAAGCGGGCAGATGCTCATACCGACCCGATCTTGCATGAAGGTGTCGTCCATGCCAGCTTGATCATAGGTCGCCGGCGTGAATGGCGCTCCACTGTCTTGGCTTTGGGTCTCCTCGGGATCGTAGGCAGCCGTGGCGGCAACGCCAGCGAAGGCAGCGGCCGCCGCACCGCCTTCGAATATGATGTTCTCGATGATGAAACGGTTGGCCGTTTCCTCTTCACCGTCCGCTGGCATTCTGTAGAATGGGTTGTGGGCGTTAGGGAGCATGTTTGGCTGGCTGATATCTCCTACGGGAGTTTCCTCGCCCCTCCGAAGGATGCACCAGCCACCGACATGGCGTTGAGGTCGATTGGTACGGGCGCGGGCAGGGATGGTGCCACCACGCTCACCTCCGGTGAGTATTCCCAGAGAAGCGGGAGGCTTGCTGATAGACGTGGAAGCCGGGAATCGGTTGCGTGGCAGACACGCGCGGCGACTCTGGCAACACCATCCGAGGAAATGCCGACGAACCCATGCTGGCCGCGGCCGCGACAGCGCTGACGAGCCCGTTCTAGCGAGGGTTAAACCCTAGGTAGAGCAGGGCCTGCCGCGTTGTCGCGACCACTCGGGCATTGGGTTCCTCCTGTTGTACGGTGGCGGAGAGGGCGACGACGGCCGCTGCTTCATTCCTTGCGTCATGCGCGTGCCTCCGCCCCTTCCTCTTGACCGACAGCACGGCCCGCTCCTCGGGCGTCAGCTTCTTCTTCTTCTTCTTGGGCGGCGTCGCGGTCTTGCGGGGCGCGCGGGGCTTGCCTTTGGCGGGGGCGTCGGAGGTGAGGCAGGACGAGGCGAGGGAGGCGAGGCCGACGGTGGCATCGAGGGTCGGGAAAGTGGAGGGAAAGGATTGTCGCCGTGCCACCGGTTGGCGGGCCGGGGGGAGTAGGCGTGTGTCCGCGCCGACCCAATTGGGATCCAAATTTGTGTCAGAAATAGGTCTTAGGCGGATGAAAAGCGGAAAGCGTCCGTTTGAATCGACGTATTGGATCGACTTTTTTGTCCGCAGCTATCCAAACAGACACATGCGGACGAAATAAGTTGGCGCATTTAGAGTTGCTCTTGAAGCGTAAAAATATCATTGCTCTGCCGGCATACTTGTCTTTCTGTTTGGGACGATGCACACGCACACGCATTGCACGGCTGTTCCTACACTCTCCACCACGTACTCACACCACCATCGAGTCGAGTACGTGTGGCGACGAGAAACTAATAAATCCAGGGCCAGTCGCCGCGGCTAAATCTAGTCCGCACACGTGACTGGTCACCGTCACAGTGAGCCTCCGTTTCATAATATAAAAATATTTTTTACACTACACCGCAAAGAGGAGGATGAATAGGGAGCATGCCTTGTGGCTCCGGCGCTGCCCCGGTCGACGAGGCGACGTGAACGGCGAGCCATGGTTTCCCACGCACGAGGTTTCCGTCGTTTCCTGGCCTCGCAACATGGACGTACCAACTGACGCCGCGCTACCCAGAGTGCGTGCCCACGACTCACTTGTTTGCTTGCCGCTTGTACTTGGCCAGGCACCGTGCTGTGCAATTACATTTCTTTTTAGTTGCACCGTACAAGGTGGGAGTAAGCTGTAAGTTTTTTTTTTTGGCAAAGCATAGCTTTATTACTTAACGATGCCGGGGCAAATCACCCGAGGCACATACAGCCACATGGGCTGGAACATCAGACTCAAACTCCACATAATGGTTCGTTGGGTACATACGGCCAACAATGGCCAGTTCATGTGCAACGGAGTTTGCACTCCGGCGACACACCGTAACGACAAATCTAGAGAACCACATCTTCAGTTGAAACTTGGTGTCCTCAATGATGGCTGCATACGGTGATGAATCAACCCTCCGGAGATCCAGTGCTTCAGCCAGCAGCTGTGAGTCTGTCTCAAAAACAGGTTGAACTACTCCCAAGTCCGCGGCGAGTGCAACAACATTTGACATAGCAATCGCTTCAGCTACGAAAGGATCCCCTGCATTCTCCTGTCTGCCCGCCCGAGCAGCGACTAGAACACCTTCAGAGGTGCGAGCGACAACACCCCAACTCACATAGTTTTCACCGGGGATGAACGACCCATCCAGATTGAATTTAATCACTCCTTCGGCTGGTGGTTTCCACTTATCAGGAGAAACTGTTTTACTCTTCGGAAGGTAGACTTGCATATATTCCAGAACGGAGCTACGTGCTCGACGAGCCACAACAGCAGGTGCTAGCGGATTCTCTCCCTTCCTTAGCTTATTTCTGTTGCTCCACCACAGCCACCAGAAGGTGAACACATGCATACGTTTTCCTTCCTCCAGACCCCAAAGATACTCTAGCATTGCATGCTCATTCGTGATGCGTTCTAGGTGCATTCTCTCTTTCTCCAGTGCTAACTCTCGCCATACCTCCTTTGCCTTTATACATTTGACAAACAGATGAGCACCATCTTCATCGGATTTGCCACAGAAGAAGCATTTTGTACTTTCCACCTTGAGTCCCCTCCTTTGCATATTAGTCAAAAGCGCAAGTGAGTTGTGCTTAACTCTCCAGACAAACATCTGAACATTCCTGGGACACGGCATCTTCCAAATCCTCTTCCATGAATTGTCATCACAGCTGTTTAGATTGCCCACCGCATGAGAGCTTGTGCCCACACCGCCATTTGTGCTTACGTTCTGCAACTCAACGTGCAATTTATACGCACTTTTCACTGTGTGTTCTCCCTTGGGCTCAAACTGCCATGCGATAAAATCCTGAATGCCGTCCCTTAGAGGCATCTGCAGGATATGACGCACATCATCTGGCCAAAAGGTATCCCTCACTAGCCTTTCATCCCACTGTCCGGATGCCGGATCAATCAGCTCATGCACGTATTGGAGAATATTATTCCCTCGAGGGGTTATCACTGTCCGCGACCAAGGCCTTGGAATCCAAGGGTCCGTCCAGATTTTGATAGAGGCTCCGTCTCCAATGCGCCAAATATAGCCCTCCCTAACAAGATCCAGCCCCTTCAACAAGCTCCGCCAGGCATAGGAAATACCATCCTTGGCTTCTGCTTCCAACAAGTGGCAATGAGGAAAGTATCGGGCCTTGAGAACTCGACCACACAGGGTGTTTGGGTTTTGTATTAGCCTCCAAGCTTGCCGTGACAACATGGCCATATTGAAGCTGTGCATGTCTCTGAAGCCAAGTCCCCCTTTGGCTTTTGGTTTGATTAATTTCTCCCAGCTAAGCCAGTGAACTGTATTCTCCTTATCTTGTTGACTCCACCAGTAGGTTCCAATAAGTGAACTTAGTTCCTGACAGAAAGTTTTGGTAAGATCAAAACAAGACATGGCAAAGGTGGGTATTGCTTGGGCAACTGTCGTCACTAATGTTTCCTTGCCGACTTTAGCAATGAGCTTCTCTTTCCATCCATACACACGCCCAGCCATAGCTCCTTTGAGATATCCAAAGGCTTTCCTTCTGGATTTACCCACGTGCACCGGAAGGCCCAGGTACTTATCATTCCATGAGTCGCTATGGATTTGGAGGGCAGCTTTCACTTCATTCCTAGCATCCACCGAAGTGTTTGGACTAAACATGACCGCAGATTTTTCCAAGTTGATGCACTGGCCCGAGCAATTCTCATATAGGTCCAAGATCTCTCTAAGCGCTGTGGCCTCCTCTTGGTTTGCTTTCAGCAGCATAACCGAATCATCCGCAAACAGCAGATGTGAGATAGCCGGTGCATTCTGACAGATCTTCACCCCACTGATAATTCCATTCCTCTCCGCATCATGCAACAAAGCTGACAAACCTTCCGCGCAGATAACAAAGAGATACGGGGATAGAGGGTCACCCTGCCTCAATCCTCGTGTAGGGTTAAATTGGTCGGTTAGTTCCCCGTTTACCCTGACTTGATATCTAACTGAAGTAACACACTTCATGATGAGTGCGGTCCATGCTGTACCAAACCCAAGCCTCTCAAGCATGGCCTGCAGGAAGCTCCATTCGACACGGTCATAGGCTTTACTCATGTCGGCCTTGACAGCTGCGACTCCCTCTTTCCCTTTTCTCTTATTCATCAAGAAGTGTGACAACTCATAAGCGATCAGAACATTATCAGTGATTAGCCTTCCAGGTACAAATGCACTTTGGTTTTCGGAGATGAGCTCCGGAATGATGAGTTTGAGACGGTTCGCTACTACCTTTGATACGAGCTTGTATAGAACATTGCACAGAGAGATTGGATGAAGATCCTTTACTCTGGTTGGGCTCTTAACTTTGGGTATCAACACAACCATAGTGTCATTCCACCCTGCAGGTATATCACCCCCATTCAACACAGCCAACACCTCCTCCACAATATGATCACCCATAAAATGCCAATTTTTCTTGTAGACGATGGGCGGCATCCCGTCCGGCCCTGGTGCTTTCAAATCCCCTATGTGATCTAGAGCGGCTTTGATCTCTTCTCTTGTGAATTCTGCATTCAGAACCGCTAGCATGGGACTAGTGACCCGCGGCTCCACTTTGTTTAACAGCTCGGGCACGCGATCGCCTGCACTTGTGGTAAAAAGTTCCTGGAAAAAAGAGAGCACATAGTTAGTCAGCTCCGGCCCCTCCTTCACCTCCGTTCCGTCCTCCTTCTTCAGCATTTTCACCCTATTACGTTTCTTCTTTGCCGCCACCACAGCCATAAAGTAACGAGTACTCCTATTTCCCTTCTTCAACCACGTAACATGGGATCTCTGCTTTGCCTTTGTATTCTTCTTCTCTTCTAGATCACGCACTACCCCTCTGAGCTTCGCCTCTTCTCTCACCTTCTGCTCTGAAATTGGTGCTCGCATACACCGTTCGAGCTCTATTCGTGCTTCCCTCAACCTCCCTTCTAACTCCCCAACAACATCCTTATGCCATTTACGAATCCTTCCTGCCACCCTCTTCATAGCTTCTGCTACTCCTCCCTCCCTTTCCAACCAGCTTTCCTCCCACGCACCTTGTATCTCCTCACTGCAGCCCTCTTCTTGCAACCACCACGCTTCAAACCGAAACCCCCTGTCGCCCCTTCCGACCGCCTTACTTTCACCTGACGTATTAACAATTATTGGTCTGTGATCTGAGTGTCGAGGGTTTCCGTTGACCACCTCAAAAACCGGAAATGTTTCGCACCACTTGGCATTGGCAGTCGCACGATCAAGTCTCTCACAAATATATGAGTCCATCTCCTGACTGTGATTCCTCCAGGTGAACTTATCCCCCGTAAAGCCAATATCACACAGCCCACAACTTTCCAAACTCGCTCTAAAACTGTCCAAGCAAGCTTGGGACCGAGGAACACCTCCCAGCTTCTCATCGTTAGATAGAATTTCGTTGAAATCACCTAAGCATATCCATGGCCTGCCATCCTGATGCTGCTGCCCTAGTAAGCTGTAAGTTATTTAGCTTTCCACCGGGACTTGCTTGCGGTTGACCCGTTGGAGCGTTTCGTCTGGCACTGGGTGCCTGCGGTAGGACACTCCGGGGGTTTGCTGCTAGGAGTTAACCTAGTCTGCCTTGAAGTGGTGGCTTGGGATGCCGGCCGCTTCTTCCTGTCGGCTCACGTGCGGCACCGCGCCACTCTTCAGGAGTGCGTGGTGATTGCCGTGTATGGCCCGGCCAATCACTCGCTCTCGCTGGAGTTCTTGGAAGAGCTTCAGACAAAGGTGATGGCTGTTGGCGTGAGCAACCTTCCTCTGCTGGTGGGGGGTGACTTCAACTTGATCCGCTCGGGAGCGGACAAGAACAACGGTATTATTAACTGGTCAAGGGTGGCCATGTTTAATAATGCTATTGCTTCCATGGCCCTTAGGGAAGTGGCCCGCGTGGGGGCTCGATATACCTGGACCAACAAACAGCTTACGCCGGTGCGTTCGGTCTTGGACAGGGTTTTTATGTCCTCGGAGTGGGAGGTGCTGTCCCCCCTGTGCTCTCTACACGCAGAAACTAGGATCGGGTCGGACCACGTCCCCCTCATCCTTTCCTCGGGGGAGGAAAGACTTAAACGCAGCCCACGTTTCTTCTTCGAAACAGCATGGCTGGAGTCTCCGGACTTCGAGCAAACCTTCCTTTCGAAGTGGGCGAATTGCATCGCTCGCATCGGGCGCGTACGCGGCCCCATGGAGTTCTGGATTGCCGCAGGGGCGGGTATGCGAGCGGCTCTCAAAGGGTGGGGAGCTAATCAGGGTTGTGCGGATAAGCTGTTAAGGGTGCGCCTGACCGAGGAGCTAGCCCAGCTAGACGCAGCGGCAGATCTGCACATCTTTTCCGCGCAGGACTGGGCCCAGCACTACGCGCTTGAGGCCCAAGTCGAATCCCTCCTCAGGGCCGAGGAAGAGTACTGGCGTAGGCGCGGTGGAATAAAGTGGACGCTCAAGGGCGACGCGAACACAAAATACTTCCACGCATACGCAAATGGCCGACGCCGTAAGTGCGCTATCCTTCGTCTTCAATCGGAGCAGGGGCTCATACTGCGGCAACAGGATATCGTCCGGCACATCTACGAGTTCTACATCCAACTCATGGGTTCCAGGGAGGAATCCAGGGATCGCCTGAGGGAGGATGTGTGGGACCCTGCGTTGCGGGTCACGGACGAGGAAAACGAGAACCTGAGCTTAGCCTTCCTCCCTGAGGAGATTGACAAAGCGACGCTGGGTATGAAATCTGACACTGCTCCGGGGCCGGATGGGTGGCCGGTGGCGATGTTCAAGCGGTTTTGGCAAGTGCTCAAAAACCCCATTTTTGACGTGTGCAACGGTTTTATGCGCGGTACGGTAGACATTTCCCGCCTGAACTTTGGGGTTCTCTCTTTGATCCCCAAGGTCCCGGGTGCGGATCACATTAGACTTTTTCGTCCTATTGCCTTAATTAACGTCCCGTTTAAAATTTGTGCTAAGGCTTGTTCTACTCGCATGTCTCCGATAGTCCACCGCATTATTAGTAGAACCCAGTCCGCGTTCATTCGGGGCCGTAACATCTTGGAGGGGCCGCTGGTTCTTCAAGAAATTATCCACTCCATTAAGCGCGCTCGACAGCCAGCGATTCTCCTCAAACTCGATTTTGAGAAGGCGTACGACCGCGTGAACTGGGAGTTCCTCCGACAGGTACTCCTGGACCGAGGTTTCTCGTCGGTTTGGGTTCACCGCATGATGCAGTTGGTCTCGGGAGGCCAAACGGTGATCGCGGTGAACGGAGAAGTAGGGAACTTCTTCCGCAACAAGCGCGGGCTGCGTCAAGGGGACCCAGCGTCGCCGTTGCTTTTTAACTTCGTGGCGGACGCTTTAGGCGCCATGCTAGACAGGGCTCGTCTAGCCGGCCACATTAGGGGTGTCGTGGACAACCTAATCCCGGG